CGGCAAGTCATGCGAAGCGCCCTGGGACTCTCTGAGGAACCCCCCATCGCACCAGTCTGGCTGCGGAGCGGGCAAGCGGTGCATCCAGCGCTGAAACGCGCGCCTCAGAGGCTGAGACGGAAGAGCGTCGGCAGCCCGTGGACGGCGTCGCCCTCGGAGCGCTGTTGAGCCTTCGAGAGGACGTTATCCCGCTGCTCGGCGGCGGGCGCATGGTCCGACCGCGCCGCCGAGCTGGCGCTGCGCGCGCCGCGCGTGCGCGGCGTGGACGGCGCGGTGGACGGCGCCGAAGAGACCCGGCGGGGGCGCGAGGCCGGGCGGGGGCGGGGCCGCCGCCGCCCGGGCGAGGAGCTCCCCTTCAGCGAGGCGCGGGCCGCGGGCCGTGGCAGGCTCGGCGCGGCCCTGGCGCGGCGCGGGGGCGGCGCGGCGCGGGGCGGCGGCGCGGCGCGCGGCCCGAAGTGCCCTAGTGGCGGCGCGAAGCCGGCCTGCGCGGGCCTCTCGGGGCAGGCGCCCGCGCCGCCGCGGGGCGCGGCGGGCCCGCGGCGGAGCGCGCGCGGGCGCGCGGGCCGGGCGGCGGGTTCTGGCCGCGGGCCTGCGGCGCAGCGCAGGCCGGGCAGCTCTGGCGCGGCTTGGCGCGCTGGTCGATCCAGCTCGAGGTCGCGGTTCGGCCGCGCGCCCGGCCGCGCGCGTCGACGGCGGCGTTGCTGGCAAGGGCGCGGCCGTCGGCGGCGGTCCGATCGGGCGCGTCGAAGGCGCGGGTGAAAGCGCAGCATGTCTGGCTCTCTGGATGGCCCCCGGCGCGGAGCATCCTCCGCAGCCAGCGCCTCGCTCGCAGCGCGCCCCCGCCCTGCGAGGGGACGTTGGTCATGCTGCTGAACGTGGCGCTGTTCGGCTGGAGAGTCCCCGGGGCTCCTGCTGGCGGGGGGCCACGCCTCGGCCGCCTCTGAGCCGCCCTTGCGCGCGCGCGCGCTCAGCATCGCGATGGGGCGCGCGAGGTTTGGGCGCCAGACTGTAGTTCTCCATGTCATCGAACAGCTGCGCAGCCCTGGCCACGTCGCCGACCTGGGCGCTGGCGCGCGCGACAGCTGCTCATCCGAAAGCGTCGGCTTTGCAGCCGGCCCTCTGCATCTGACCAAACCAGTGCTCGGCCGCCCCACGAGACTTCGCTTGGCACGCGCTGTACTGATGAGGTTGCAGGTCGTCTCGTCGGGACTCAATTGCGCCGCCCGCCTCTGCCGGAGCCGCAGCTCTGCGCCGTTGGAATCTGGCACTTTCGCGTAGGCGTGGATGAGAGTCGCTGCGTCTGGGCGCGCGCCGAACCTCAACATCTCCTCGAGCCGCGCCTCCGCCCTGCGCGTCTCGCCTGCCTTCGCACGCGCGTCGACGATGGCGCTGGCAGACCTAACTCTGGGATCGACGCCGTCGTCAGTCATGCTCTCGCGCCGCGCCTCCGCGCCGGCGACGTCGCGGCCGCGCGCGCATCGATGATGGCGTTATACGCGATGGCCCCGCGAGTTGCACATCAGGAACAACCGAACGAAAGTTAGACCCTGAAACGTAGAGAGGATCAGGAAGAAAGAATGGCCAGGAGAACATCGGGACGAAGTCGCTCGAATATTCTAGGCCTGGCTCAAGACCTCGCAGCCCTCGACCATCTTCGCTGGGAGAAAGGACTCAGGAAGTCCGCGTAAAGGGGAGCGAACACAAATGAGGAAGCGCCGACCCTCTGCGCCCGGGGCGTCGCGGTCCGCGTCGCTGGCTTCGTTGGCATCGCATGCCGGAGCCAGGCCCTCAACTCCCATCGCCCGGCTGCGAAAAGCTTCGCGACGTCGCGGCGCCCGAGAAAGATTCGCAAGGTCAAACAAGCACGGTCAAATTTCAGCCCAAACACCGTAGATCAGACGCACTCCGCCGTGGCGCTCCTACAGGACAGCGCCCCCCTCCCTGGCGTTGCCCACAGCGCCGAGCTCTGTGCCGACTTCCGCCGCGGACGCCCAGGGAGAGTGGTGCCGCGGACACGGTGCAGGGTTTCGTTTGGAGCCGATGCTCGTCGAACCCTGGGAAGAGCTCCCCTGGTCCACGAGGCGTCATATGGCATTTCGTGCTGGTCATCAAAATGCCAAGACGTAAAAGTACAGGTCTTGGAGAAGAGGAAAGACGTGGGTAGTGCAACAAGGACCAGCGCGCCCCCTTCTCGACGGGCTTGATGTAGTCGCAGATGTGCGGCATGGCTGGGCGTCGGCGGCAGGGTCGGGCTTCTGGAAGCCTGCAGCGTCAGCCTGCAGCTGTGGCGGGCAGGTGGGCTCCCTGCAGCACTTCTGGGTACTTCTCTCAAGAGGTACTTCGAATAGCACGTCTGGGTGCGCTTCGAGATGTTGCTTCTCGTGCTCCTGTGAGCGCATTTTGCCGCGGTAGCGGCTCTGCTGTATTTATGTCATCTAAGCACGTGGAATCTGGGCCAGTGGCCCCGGGGTGCTGCCCCCGCGCCGGTGAAGTCCGTGGAGCCGATGGTGCTGTCCCCACGAACGGCGCCCCCCGCAGGGGGTTATACGTGATGGCGTTCAGATGCGCGCCGTCCTGCAGCATCTGGTCAAACCAGACCGCGGCTCGCTGAGGGTCCACCGCCTTGGCGCAGACGTCGATGACGGAGTTGAACGTGGCGGAGGTGCGTTGCGCATCAGGTACAGCTGAACGAAAGTTACAACCTGGAAGAACGCGAACATAGAGAGGATGAGGAATAACGGACAGCCACAAGGACTTCAGGACAACGTCGCACGAAAGTTCTAGGCCCAGTTACAAACCTCGCAGTGTTCTGCCTTCGCTTCAGGATGGAGGTCCAAACCTCCGCGTGGACAAAAATGCCGAAGAGCACTTCAACGAAATCGAAGACAACGCGAAATGCGAAGCACTTCAGCTTGTAGATATGTTGGGGCGCCGGTCGATGAAAACGAAAACACCCCAGAAACGTCGCAGGCATTCCGAAAAAATGCGCGTCGCGCGTGCGTCCTCCCGGGCACGGACCGACCCCTTGATCCTCCCAAGAATGGGAGGCCCGGCGCCCCGCGCAGACCTTGAAGGCCTTGTCAACTCGATCCTCCACGGCAGGCGGGGCCAAGCGCCGCGCTCAGGCACGGCGTGCGTTCTGGTACGCCTCAGGAGCGATGGCCCTGCCAGACGTCGCGGGGACTCGGGGGCGGGGTCGGTCTGGCGCCGCCGCCGCTGCGCACTCCTCCTGGCGGCCCGTCTGCTTGGTGCGCTGGGGCTGGTGGTCTCCGGCGCGGCGGGGAGGTGGATCGACGTGGCCACCTTCGCCCAGTCGCGCAAGTGGACCTGCTCCCATTCCGCGTCGTAGTCGCTCTCAATATTCCCGAGGTTGCTCCACCTTGCGCTCAAGGGGGCCTTCGGAACACTAGTGCGGTTCTCGACAGCGGCCTCCGTCGCGGCCGGTTTGACCCCGAAGTCGTCGTCGTCAAGCTCGAAAATAGCTCTGGATTTGGCCGGGGCGGCCTCGCACAGCTCGTCGGCCCCGTCGTTGTCGGCGAAGATGTGGGTGATGCCGAAGATCTCTAGGACGACCAAGTCGAACCGCTGGTCGCCTGCTTGGAGGGGCTCTCGGGGCTCCCCCTCGTCCTCGCCGACGGCGGACTCGTCGTCGCTATCGTCGAAAGGGATCCCGAGGATCTCCGCTGCTTCCGGGTCGATCAGCGCCCGGACGTCGGAAGTCTTCAGGCCATCAGTGCGGCCTGCTCCACCTCCTCCTGCTCGAGGGTGGTCGCTACTTCCCCCAAGAAGAGGGTCGCTTACTAACACAGCTTGTTGAACGTTCTCGCCCCGTCCGTGCCCCAGGAGCGGGTGGAGAGGACTGACCAAATTCTTGCTATGGGCTAAAACGAAGTACTCCTCGTAGTACACGTTGAAAGCGGTGGCCGAGACATCTCGTAGGCACCCACGTCGATGCTCGCAGCGCTCGCCCGCCTGCTCAGGTTCGTAGGTGTAAACGTTCACCTATTTGGCTGTCGCCACGCTGGCACTCTTGCAGCACGCGCGGTGCGAAGTAGCAGCTCGTCGGCCGCCAGCTCGAACCCGTTCGCGGCGCCTCCAGATTGCCAGCCTCGAGCGTATCCTTGTCCCTAAGATTGACACGCCAAAAGGCGATGACAATCTTAGGGATTCGCCCTCAAGAAATAAGGGAATCCCTAAGATTGGCATCGTGATGAGGAGGTGCCCAGCATAGGGATATGGATATGTTCCAGGCTGGTAACCAGATCCCGTGGACCAGGAAACACCCCCGCCACCGCCAAAACCACGGGGAAGAAGCTGTAGTCTGGGGGCCGCGGCGTGGCGGCGTTCAAGGTGACGGCGTCGGGCTGCATGCCCACCTGCGACATGCGCTCGAACGCCCAGCACGGGCCGTCTGGGCTGCCCGCGCGGGCACAATAGCTGATGAGGGAACGGTGGAGTGCCTAGCTGCGTGAGCACTTCGGGCTCGCTACGAGATTGAGTCGAGCATGGCTTCGGCGGACCGTGACCGTGTGTCGCCCGCCGCGAACCGGACTGCCACCGCCTTGGAGAAACTGGACTTGTCGTTGGCGCCCATTCTGTTCAGGCTGGCCGGGACGCGCCGCTTGAACACTGGAAGCTGCTCCTCGTCTGTCCGATAGCCTTGAGCCTAAACGGCTTGAGCCAAAATGGCGACGGAACACTTCGTCAACTTTTGGGGGCCCAGGGGGCAAATTGCGGGCCTCGAAGGTGCACGAAAGGTGCACCCTTCTGCACTGATGGGCCCATCTTCCACCACCACTACCATAGGTAGGACGGGGGAGGTGGGAGGATGATGTCCTCCTCCTCCTCCTCCTCCTCCTCCTCCTCCTTCTCCTCCTCCCTCTCCTTCCTGTGGTAGTGGTGGTGGAAAATGGGGCCATCACGCACCCCTCCCGCTTATCGCGCCCCCACGACGCAACGCCCGAGCATCGACCCTCGTGGTCGTCGCCGGCCGGCGGCGCCTCATCTCGTCGGACCAGCGCGCCTGGTAGTCCCGCAACCTTCGGCGACACCGCAAGAGTGACCCTGGGCAGGACTGGCCTCTGGCGTGCGGCTTGAAGGGGGGCGCGGGGAAGCCAAACCCGAGCGCGCCAGCCACTGTTAGGGGAACCCCTGCCCGAACGTTTTTTCTGTCGTCGGCGACTAGGCAGGGCAACTGCGCTGGCGATGGTTGCCTAAACGGAGGTGGCGTTGTGGCGAACTGTGCCACCATGCAGAAGGGGAGAGGGCGGGGACGCGGCCGAAAAAAATGGAAGGGGCGGGAGGGGACCGAGGCCACTCAGGGGGACGGGTCACGCCCCAAGCGCGTGGCGCGGCCGGCCCCGCCGGAGGGGCCGCGGCGGCTGCTACACCGGGGGGGGCCCTACCCTGACATGCTATGTCTTGATGTTTTCAGCACGCGGTCCCCAGAAATCCCGACCCCTTCCCTGGGGCCGGCCTCAGAACGGCCCCCAGGGCCAGAACCCAGGACGCGCGACCTTACGCGGACAGCGTGCGCTCCAAAGTCGGCGAAGACGATGGAGTTGTCTTGCGTCGCTCACTTGAATACCCAGAGATCCGATATCGCGACTTTTCCCACGCGCGAATCCCGACCCATTCCTTGGGGCTGGCTTTCCATCCCGAGCCGTTGTTGCTCCCGTCCCAGCGCCCGGCGAGGGCCCCGGGGGGCCGACAAAAACGTCGAAGAGCACCTCCCGCAGATGTGGCCACGGCCTGGGGCACGGGCCCGCACCTCCAGCGATCGGGCACCCTCACGCTCGGGGGCGACGACCTGGGCGCATCGCACAGGGGAGAGCAATCCACGCATCCACAGGTGAACAAGCCATGACAGAAACATTAAACCTCGGAGGTCCGCGCAGATTTCTCGGATCGGCGCTGGAGCTCTCCAGCGGCGCCTCCGGCGCCGCCCCGGGCGCGCTCCGCGCGCCAAGGAGGGGTGTCCCGCGCCGATCCGAGAAATCCGCGCGGATCTCCGAGGTTTAATGTTTATGTCATTGCTTGTTCCCCTAATCTCGTGTCTAGGGTCGCCAGTGGTCCATGCCTTCGGCGAGGCTCTCCGGCGGAGGCGTGTAATGCCCGCCCCATGGGCTATTCGCCCCTACCGTCGCCTCCGATATCTACAGTGCGGCCGCGGCCGCCAAAAACGTCATGAACCCCTTGCAAGAAACCCAGCCCTGAAAACACGCGCGCGAGACGCACGCGGGAGGGAACCCAGAATACCCTGAACGCGGCAGCTTCTCCAACGGCCGCGGGGAGTCACCGCGCAGCGCGCGGAGCGAAGAACCCCGGGGTGCCCTGACGAAAAGCAGCATTCCAAAAAGGGCCTCGCCTTCGAGGATGGAAGGAGCTGTCATCTCTTCCTCGGCGGAAGGCGGCGGAGAGGCGCGGCGGAAGCAGAACGAGGCCGCTTCCGCCGGCCGGCGGAAGGCGGCGGAAGTACAAGATGCACCCCCAAGAGATGAAAACGGCATTGGGGTTCAAGGTTTCCAGAATCCGCATGGGTTCTTGATGCGCGTCCTGACTACCTACCAAACCACCCCAACCCAACCCGAAGACCCCGATGTCGGGTTGGGGGGGGGGAAGGGCCTCATGTGTGTTTCTCCCATGTTCCCCGACCCCCCCCCACTGGCAATGAAGGGCAGATCGGGGCCTTCGGGTTGGGTTGGGGTGGCTTGGTGAGCGGTGACGCCCTCACTGCACGCGTCCCGCAGCCTCGGATTAAGCGGGATTAGCTAAGCGGGATTAGCCCGGATTAGCTAAGCAGGATTAAGCCGGATTCAACGGGATTGAGCCAGCTTCCGGACCAGGGCAGAATCAGAACTTGACCTCCCGGAAGCTGCGTCCTCGCCGCACGCGTCCCGCAGCCTCCGCTCCAGCAGCCGCTCGTGTTCCCGGCGCTCCTCCCTGCCGCGCCGCTCGACCTGCGGGGGGGGCGCCCGCGGCCCGCGCCGGCAGAGGAGGAGGAGGAGGAGGAGGAGGAGGAGGAGGAGGAGGAGGAGGAGGAGGAGGAGGAGGAGGAGGAGGAGGGGAGGAGGGAGGAGGGAGGGGGGAAGGAGGGAGGAGGGAGGAGGGAGGAGGTAGGAGGGAGGGAGGGAGGGAGGGAGGAGGGAGGGAGGAGGGAGGGAGGAGGGAGGAGGAAGGACAATGAGGACGTGAAGAGTAGGAAGGGCGATCTGTTTTTACAGTGCAGTAAGGAACACGATATTGGAACCACACGCGTAAAGCACGGGCACGGCAGCTGGCCAATTTCCGTGCCCCGAGGCCGGAAACAGCAGCGAACAGGGAGACAACTGACAGGGCAAGAATCAAAGAATGGTTGGCAAGGTCCCGTTCGAGTCTGGTGCTCAAGAGATTGGTGGGCCTCGCTGGTTTTAAGCGTGCAAACCACACTCCAGCCAGCGAAGCAAAAGCAAGTCAACAGCGCAGTGAAGGAACGTTCTTCTAGCACAGTTCTTTCTGTAACGTTCGTGAGACCTTCATACAACAAACTGCGCGGCTGAAGCTTTCTGCTGACCAGGTCTCAGCATAGCGTTGCACCGAAGAGGGGATGCTGCGCCAAGAGGGACCCGGCCCCTAACAAACAATGGCGAGGCGGCATGCGATTCAGACGGAGCACGCGGGGCGAGGGGGTGAACCCGAACTTAGCCTGGCGAAGAACCTAACCATATGGAATTGTAAGTACCGCAATTGTGGGTATCGTCTTACGTGGACCTCCCTCTGGGGCCACGAAACGGTACACTGGGCGCAGGAGCCGCATGCGGGTTCCGCCACTGAGACCTTCGGTGGGGCTACGAAACGCTGCACTGGGCGCAGGAACCGCATGCGGACTGCGCCCCTGGGACACTCGGTGGAGCTCCCTGTGGGGCCACCAAACGCTGCACTGGGCGCAGGAACCGCATGCGGGCTGTGCCACTGGGACCTTATGTGGAGCTCCCTGTGGGGCCACGAAACGCTGCACTGGGCGCAGGAACTGCATGCGGGCTGTGCCTCTGGGACCTGATGTGTAGCTCCCTCTGGGACCACGAAACGCTGCACTGGGCGCAGGAACTGCATGCGGGCTGTGCCTCTGGGACCTTATGTGTAGCTCCCTCTGGGGCCACGAAGCGCTGCACTGGGCGCAGGAACCGCATGCGGACTGCGCCACCAGGACCTTCTGTGGAGCTCCCTCTGGGGCCACGAACCGCTGCACTGGGCGCAGGAACCGCATGCGGACTGCGCCACTGGGACCTTCGGTGGAGCTCCCTCTGGGGCCACGAAGCGCTGTACTGGGTGGGGGAACCGCGGAGCGAAACCCGAAACCCCAGGAGCGGTCAACCACGGCACCCTCTATAGCCAGCCTCGCCTCCGCCTCGACCTCTTCCTCCCCCTCCTGCCCTGCCTCCTCCTCCTCCTCCTCCTCCTCCTCGTCCTCCTCCTCCCCTCCTCCTCCTCCTCCTCCTCTTCATCATCCTCCTCCTCTTCCTCTTCCTCCCCCTCCTCCTCCTCCTCCTCCTCCTCTCCCCCTCCTCCTCCTTCTCCTCCTCCTCCTCCTCCTCCTCCTCCTCCTCTCTCCTCCTCCTCCTCCTCCTCCTCCTCCCCCTCCTCCTCCTCCCCCCTCCTCCTCCTCCCCCTCCTCCTCCCCCCCCTCCTCCTCGGTCAATCCCCTCCTCCTCTTCCTCCTCCTCATCCCCTGCCGCGGCGACAGACCGGCGGCGAAACTCCGACCGAACCCACACCCGAAAATCCGAGAGGGGCCAAGCCCAACTTCAGTTCAGACCAGCCCCGCCTCGTTCTTCCTTCCGCCCCCCTCCTTCCCCCTTCTCGTGTGTCGTCCAACTCTCCCCCACTCTCGTCCCTGCCCTCCTCGTCTTCCTTCCGATCCTCCCACCTCCCCCTCCTCCCTCCCCCTCCTCCTCCTCCTCCTCCTCCTCCTCCTCCTCCTCCTCCTCCACCTGCTCGCTAGTCCTCTCACGCCTCCTACCCTCCTTTCTTCCCTCGCCACTCCTCCTCTTCCTGTCTCTTGCCTCCGCTCCTTTCTCCTCCCTCCTCCCGCCTCCCCCTGATCCCTCCTTAATCATTCCTTCCTCTTCCCACTTCCCCTCCCTCGTCCCCCTACTCGGCACGCGGCAGCGCCTGCGGGGCGGAAGTTGAAACTATTCCACTGTACTCGCCACGTGGCGAAAGCCTGGAGGGGGAACAAATATGCTGCTCCTCTCCTCGCGACGAGGCAGCGCCTGCGGAACGGATGAACATCATTTTTCACGCGAATTGCCAGATGACAGCGACTGGTGAGAGAAACGCAAACGACTCCACTCCACAACTCGCCACATTGCAACGCTGGCGAAGCGGAAGGCATATGTTTTGACTCTACTCGCCACGTGGCAACACCGGGGAAGCGAAGCAAATACTGCCCCACTCTCCCTGCCACGTGGCAACGCTCGGAGTTGGGAACACATACTACTCCACTGTACTCACCACGTGGCGGCGCCTGCGGGGCGAAACATCGATACGCCCCCCTTCTCGGCACGTGGCGAAGAAGCGGGGCGGCAACAAATGCTACTTTTGCCGACTCGTCACATGGCACATGGCAACGCCACGTGGCAAGGCATGAGAGGTAATCCAAAATACTATCGCACTCCACTCGCCACGTGGCAACGACATGGGGAGCGAACAATACGTAGAAGTCCACTCAACTCATCACGTGGCAACGTCTGGGGGGCGCAAACATAGATTCCATTATATTCGCCACGTGGCAACGCCTTGGATACACTCCATTCGCAACGGAGAAGCGACAGGCCGGCGAACAACATACAAGACAATTTTGCGCGCCGCGTGGAAAAACCACACAACGAAAAATTATTACTCTATTGTATTCGACGTGACAACGCCGCGGAGGAGGACACCAACATCTACTCGGCACGTGGCTCCAACGCAGACGAAGACAACGAAGACGAGGACGAGGACGAGGGCAAGGACGACGACGTCGACGTCGACAACGACGACGACACGACGACGACGACAAAGACGACGACAAAGACGACGACGACGACCACGACGGCAACGACGACGACGACGACGACGACGACGACGACGACGACGACGACGACGACGACGACGGCGGGGGCGGCGCCGGCGGCGGCGGCGGCGGCGAAGGCGAAAACGACTACAACGACGACGGACGACGACGACAACGAGGACGACGGACGACGACGACAACGACGACGACCACGACGATGACGCCGTCCGCCCGACCGCCCACCCGCCCGCACGCCTTCTTGCCTGCCCGCCCGCCCGCGCGCCCGCCCGCCCGCCCGCCCGCCCGCCTGCCCGCCCAGTCGCCCACCCGCCCGCCCGCAGGCCCTCTCACCCGCCGTCACCCTCCTCCCTCACTCGCTCCCCCGAAGCGGCCACCAAACCGAGCCAGAGCGATCAGGCGCGCGGCAGGAAAACTCCTTCCCCATCACCCTCCCCTGAGCCGTCGATTTCCTTCCTCCTCCCCTTCCACCACCCCCCTTCCTCCCCTGAGCCGTCGATTTCCTCATCCCAGGGAGTCCTGAGAACCGACATCCTCCTCCTCCTCTTCCTCCTCCTCCTGCTGCTGCTCTTCCTCCTCCTCCTTCTGCTCCTGCTCCTCCCCCTCCTCATCTTGCTCCTCCTCCTCCTCCTCCTCCTGTTCCTGGTCCTCCTCCACCTTCCGTCATTAGGATGCACACCCCGAAACATGGCATCAATTCTTTGCTTTTGGCGCAGTCGCACAATGCGTTGCATTGCATTCCACTGCATTCCTCTTCCTCCTACAGCCCCCCTTCTCCCTCTTCTCGTTCGTCCTCCACCTCTCCTCCTCGCTCGTCCCCGTCCTCCTCATCCTCTTTCCGATCCTCCCACCTCCCCCTCCTCCTTCCACCTCCTCCTCGCCCTCCTCGCTTGTCCTCCACGCCTCCCACCCTCCTGTCCTCTTTCCTCCCTTCTCCCTCTTACCTGCTATTCCTGCCTCCTGCCTCCTCTCGCTAGTCCTCCCCCCTGCCTCTTGCCTCCTCCCTCTTCCTCCCTTCCTCCTCCTTTCTCCTCCTCCTGCTCCTCCTGCTTGTCCTGCTCCCTCCTCCCTCCTCCCTCCTGCCTCCTGCCCCACCTCCTTCCTCGTTCCTCCCTCCTCCTCCCTCGTCTCGTCCCTCTACTCGGCACGCGGTCAAGCCTGCGGGGCGGGCATTGGAACTATTCCACTTTACTTGCCAAGTCGCAAACGCATGGGGGGCGACACACACACACACAAACACACACGCACGCACGCACGCACGCACGCACGCACGCACGCACGCACCCACACCCACACCCACACACATACACATACACATACACATACACATACACATACACGCACACGCACACGCACACGCACACGCACACGCACACGCACACGCACACGCACACGCACACGCGCACGCGCACGCGCACGCGCACGCGCACGCGCACGCGCACGCGCACGCGCACGCGCACGCGCACGCGCACGCACGCGCACGCGCACGCGCACGCGCACGGCACGCGCGCGCGCACGCGCACGCGCACGCGCACGCGCACGCGCACGCGCCACGCGCCGCGCACGCGCACGCGCACGCACGCACGCACGCACACGACGCACACACGCACGCACACGCACACACACACACACACACACACCACACACACACACACACACACACACACACGCACACACACACACACACACACACACACGCACACATTCACACGCTTACACACACACACACACACACACTCGCACACAATTACACACACACACTTGCACACAGTTGCAGTCTTTCACACTTACACACTTACACCTATGCTACTCCACTCTCCTCGCGACGTGGCAACGCCTGCGGGACGCAAAACAACGCAAGGGGAGCGAGACAAGGACTGTTCCAAACTCCTCGCCACGTGAGAACGC